TCACTGAAACATATCTACAATTTTTTAGGCTCCATATTCATTTATTGATTTGTTCTGCCCATTAATCAATATTTCCATTGGTATTAATTTAATTTTTAGAAGAACAAAGTGATTGACTCTATTTGTTTAATTAATGGATCTTCTTTTCTCTTGACAGTTCATCCAATAAGTTCTGAGCTCGCAAAGCCATCAAATATGATCATTGCTGTTCGGATCGCGCTTCTTCTCTGCGCTGTTATCTACTTTGCAATTGGAATTTTTGGGTACTTACTGTTTGGAGAGTCGTTAATGTCAGACATTTTGATGAACTTTGATGAGAGTGGTGATGCAGGCGGGGCTGTGTTGAATGATGTGGTGAGATTAAGCTATGCAGTTCATCTGATGTTGGTCTTCCCCTTGCAAAACTTGCCACTGAGGTTGAATATAAATGAATTTCTGTTCCCAAAGAAGGCTCCGTTGGGCACAGATAGAACAAGGTTTGTAGCCATTACAATGCCTTTGTTGGTGTTCTCCTCCTTGGCTGCAATTGCATTCCCAAACATATGGTATATCTTTCAGTTCATGGGCTCCACTTCAGCTACTTGCCTTGCCTTCATCTTCCCCGGCGCCATCGCCCTCAGGTACTTCCTTAAACTGAAAATAATCTTAGCCGAGTTGAATATATATTCTGAGTGTTCTTTTTATGAACTTATACATGTCAACATAAGAACATTAAGCTTTTGAGTTAATTTTTAACTCAAATTTGTTTGGGCGTGCAGGGATGTGAATGGAATATCAACAAAAAAGGATAAGGTATTTGCCACAGTAATGATAATTCTAGCAGTGACAACGAGCATTATTGCCATTTCTATAAACATAAATAATTCATTGAAAAGTGAGAATTCGTTACCATGAATTTTTTTTTTTTTTTCTTTTTTGGAGATAATGATTTGTTGTAGAGTTTGTAAGTATCTTTCTTTCTTCTTCTTTCATGTTTAACTTAAATTTTGTACGTTCAATGATGCATAATTGAATTGTGAGTGAATTTTTGCATAATTGAATTGTGAGTGAATTTTTGCATAATTGAATTGTGAGCAAAGAAAAAAAAACATTCTCACACACTTCCACTTGAAAATGAGATCCAAAATTGCAAACGGGAAGAGTCTAAATCTAAAATTAAATCTAAGGAGTTAGATTGTAATACTAAACAAAATGTAGAGAGCTGATTGATTAGAAGTTCAATAGTGTAATTACAACACTTAACAAGGTTCATAACATCCTTAAAATTTTATTCGATATGCTAAGAACAACAATGGGAGTTGAGAGAACACGATACTCGATATTTAAAAAAAATTGTAAATTTGAGAAATTTGTTCAATAATTGGTCTTTATGGGTTCGCTCATTTTGTCATCAGAGCAATGGTACTGGCTCTGATGGGTTGGCTCTACTATACATTCTCTGTAAGGAAGAAGCCTTGATTTTAATCTTAAAAAGCATAACAAAACTGGTCTCAACATCTCAATCCTTCCCAACATCTCTAACATGGTTAAAGTATTTTGAGTGGAAACAACCGATCTCGCAAATGTAAGACAGCCCATCTCCTTCAAGATGAAACATCATAGCTAAGATCTCTAAATCTCTTCATTAGGTTTGACTTGTACTCGTTTACTTGCGTATCTTCAGCTGAATCCGGGGTCGATTTAATAACCAAGATCGCCCCTGCTTTATGCAAAGCACCAACAGCTTCATCTGGAAAATTAAATATGAAAAACGAGCGTTTCAAAATGGATGTAGAACCACCTATATTGTCGCAGTTTCTAGACATACAAGGAAGCTCTAAATCATTGTGTGGTTTCAAGATCAGGACGTAACGTTCTACAGAACACCAGAAATCCAGATGTGTTGCATGTTTATGCACCAACTCCTAGGTTAATAAGATCAAAACTAAAGCTAAAGCGTAGATAATAAATTAAAGAAGTATCTGTGGAAATTAGAATTTGAACCTGAATATGAGATGGCATGTAAAGCCTTCAAAGCTTCCTTACGTGTACGGTCGTCTTTGGCAGCCCCGAGCATGTTTAAGAGCTCTTGAGCCCCACCTATCTCCACTATTTTCATCCTTTTTTCATCTGTAGTTGCAAAGAAAGAAAAATGTAATAGTCAGATTTCAGCAATAAATTCAACAGGCTTGCCCTGAGTTTTTGAAGTTACCAACAAAAGTGCAATCAGTCAATACTAGAGACAAGACTGTCACAACTCTTAACATTTACCGATTCAAAAGATACAAAATGTTTTTTGTGAGATCCTATATTGGTTGGGGAAGAGAACGAAGCATTCTTTATAAGAGTGTGAAAACCTCTCTATAGCACATGTGTTTTAAAAACTTTGAGGGGAAGTCCGGAAGGGAAAACCTAAAGAGGACAATATCTGCTAGCGGTGGGCTTGGGCTGTTACAAATGATATCAGAGCCAGACATCGGACGACCGGAGGGTGGACACGGGGCAGTGTGCCAGCAAGGATGCTAGTCCCTGAAGGGGGTGGATTTGGGGGGTCCCACATTGATTAGAGAAGGGAACGAGTGCCAAAAAGGATGTTGGGCCCCGAAGGGGGGTGGATTGTGAGATCCCACATCGGTTGGGGGGAGAAGAACGAAACATTTTTTTATAAAGGTGTGGAAACCTCACCCTAGCACCCGCGTTCTAAAAACCTTGAGGGGAAACTCAAAAAGGAAAGCTCAAAGAGGACAATATTTGCTAGTAGTGGGCTTGAGTTTTTTTCAATTATGAGTGAGGTTGCTGAGGTAGAAAGAGTGCAAATCTAAAATCCTTTCTTGAAAGATGCTTCTTTTATTGGCCAATGCAGCTGGAAGTTTCTGACCCAGCAATTTAGCTTGCTAACATTTTTCTAAGTTAGCAGAGCAAAGGAGCTTTATGATAAATTCGAAAGCCTTCTTTAGCTATTAGTATATGTATTTACGTTGGTATCATGATTACAGAATCTCAATAAGAGGTCTTAAAACAATTTCTTAGAATCCTGGTGAGAAAAAATGTGATGGGCTAACAAGATTTACTGCAGCAAGACAGCAGGCAAGGGATTATATGCCCCACGACAAAGTTTCAACACGATAGAAAAGTTCGGAACAAGTATCTAGAACTCACAGTTACGCAATCTATAGAACAAATCCTGTAAGTAAGGGCAGAGTTTGAGACAAGTTTTACCATCGATAGTTAAAAGCCTTAAACAATTCAGGAGGGGAAAAGGTGAGGAGATACCATCAATTGAAAAGCGAGCTAATCTCGATGCTCCCATCCTCTTAAACAGTGGATCCTTGACTTGCAAGAGGGAAACAGATTGCTGCAACAAGTTATCCCCTGTAAGAACAAATTTAACTCAAGATTACACCCTGAAAGGATTGAAAACTACAAACATTTAACATCCAAAGAAATCAAAAGTAACTTAGAGATATAATTTTCTGACCCATGTACGGAAAAATGTGGTAACCCAGAAATGTGGCAGTCCCAGCAAAGATTAGTTTTAATAGCCATCCTACTTTTCTTTCAGCCTCCTTCTCGATCTCTGAAATTAACTCAATTTCAATCAGGCATTCAACAACAATGTCAGTAAGTATGGAACTCATCTATTTACTTTTACAGATTGCAAACATTCCTTTTGGATCAAAGAGTAAAACAAAGGCCACAGATAAATGAACATATGAAAATAAGACTAAAAGCGTACTGTCCCCTACTTCGTTGTTAGAACCAAGTAATAGAATATCCATCAACATAATAATATTCCCATTGATACTATCAATAATCAAAGGTTCAGCAATTGGTATTAGAGATCAACCAATATTGCTAACATACTATACAAATATCGATGAAAAAAGAAAAAGAAAGATAAACAATAAGATTGACAGCTTATTTATGTCAACATCCATAAAATTAAGGGACTAGCATTCCCGTCAATAATGCTTTAATCCCGGCTTAGAGCACTATGGGATTAATTTCTTTTCGATACAAGCAACCGGATTCCAATATCCAAACAGAAAAAGGCAACGATAGCCATCGAATAGGCATCAAACGAAAAAATAAACCCTTAAATTCCATTTTATATGCATCATCTGAGCAGCCAAAACAATCCGTCCCTTCAGCAAACAAAAAAAGAGATCGATAATTTCAAACAAGATTTACCACGTTCGTCGTAAGCTGAAAAAGGGCGAAATTGCAGGGTCCGCGCAGGTTCCCTTCTGCAGAGATGCTGAAACTAATGCAAGTAAGGGGAAAAACCATGGAGGAAATTTCTGAAAACAGAAAGCTCGAGAGAGAGAGAGAGGAGAATTTTACGGCGGTTAGCTTCGATACAATTATGCGCATGGTGCAGAATCAGCCGCCGGCTCCGGCAGTGTGGGTCGACTCCGTTTGTGAACTGCAACCCGCTCCGCCGCAAAACAAATTTATGGCTTTGAGTTTTGGGGCGAAGTATGAAATGACTCAATTTCAGAGAAGTTCCGACTAATGAGATAAATTTGAATGGAGATTAATAAATATAATTTTGTTAATCAGTAATTAATTTAATATATCTTTTTTATTTCAACATTATCATCTAATTTCCAGGGTGAAAATAATAATTTATCTATACTCAAAACTAAAAATTTTAATAATATAATCTATTTATTTTATAAAATTATTATTCATTTCTTCATTGCTTAAAAATTATGTGCATACATACACTTTAATTAACTTTAAATATTTTTAATCAGTTAATTCCATTTTTTGTTTTTAAACTTCAAAAAAACTTAATTTGATATCATTGATCTATAATTTTGGTTTAGTTATTATTATATTGCATAAAATCGTCACTAATTAGTTCAACCAATCACAAAAAAGAAGAATTGAAAAAAAAAAATCATGTTATATAATAAGCAATTATAAATTCTTTTTTCTCGACAAAAACCAATTACATACTTCAACATGTATAAGAACAATCGCTAATAAAATTAAAAACCAGAGTAAACACAAAATTGAAAAGTCAAAAACAATTCAGTATAGGAGGAAACATATATTTAAAGGCTCTTCATGGCGATATACATATTTATGTTGTTCAACCTTGTTGCTTTTAACTATATCTATCACCATTTCCCTGTTGAATTCGCCATAGATGTCTGTAGAGTTCTCGAGTTCAACAATAGAAACTATATATAAAACGAAATAAAAACAAAAACCTACATCTCAAAGGCCCGTCACGTCGATACGTATTTATGTTGTTCAACCTCGCTGCTTTAAACTATACCTATCACCATTACCCTGTCGAATTAGCCAGAGATGTCTCTCGAATTCAACAAAAGAACAAATCTACTACCGTAGATGTCTCTCGAGTTCTCGAGTTCAATAAATGAACAAATCTACTTTTCTATTTCCTGTCGAAAAGAGGTGCAATTTCGTAAGAAAGTTACGAAGGTTTCATCATAAAAGGAGCATATTTTGAAAAGAACTAATTACTAACCTTCTGCTCTTCTTGGCAGTAGGGGCAATTATTCCTCTTTTCTCTAAGCTTTTGAACCTGTCCTTCACAAGGGTGCAACATCCCTGCATTTATACAAAATAACCAACCACAATGCATCTAAATTTCAGAACACAACTACTTTGATAGAAAGGAGTATATTCAGGAATGATGAACATGGAAATTAATTACTGCACCTTCAGCTTACGGAGTGATCCAGTTATTTCCTCGGATAGGAGAACTTGAACTGGAGGAGGCTCGAACCTGAAAGTAACACCATGCAATTCAAAATGCTGCAAATCGATTGATTACTAATCTTTCTATTTAGCACTAAACAGAACTATTTAAGAGTTGTGTAATAGGACGTACTTGTGCCTCCCCAATCGAGGTGGGCATGACTTTAATCTCTCCTGTTTGGCTATTGTTCGTCGGATAAGTCTGTTTTGTCTCTCCTCGTCCTCTTTAGCTATTTCTTGAAGGATATCCGGCAAGCTTCATACGCGAAAGTTCAGTTACATTGGACATCTGATAACTATGGAGGAGAAAAGATACTGATGTATACCTGTCAATCTCTTTGGAAATTCCTTTCAACTTCTTCGATTCGGCTTCCTTTCTGCGCTGTTCTTTGTTTCTAGCTCTCTTATTCAACTCAACTCGAGTCACCCTTTTTGTCCTCAAAGGCCTGTGTAACAAGCTTAAATTTATTAGAAAAAGAACAAAAGAACACCTGAAATACATTGTTTCAAAATTGCGAAAAAGATCGCCCTGCTGTTGGAAAAGCACAACAGGTTTTAAGTTCTAATAGATCCATACAGAAAATCAATTATGTACACCTAAAGGACGGACTAGCATAAGAGGGCCAAGAAAAGTGATCCAAACTACTTGAAAAATCTGCAAGCTTTAAAACAATTATTCTCCAATAAATGAAACCTTTTTTCAATATCATCCTCATCCATTTCGTCCAAATTGGTTTCGTCATCAGTATCATTATCAGCATCCAAAAATAACATCTGCAAAACACCAATTAAATGTAATCTCTTAAATCAAGAAAAGTTACTGAAAGTAAAAAGTATATTTTATATTGAGGAGAGTACTCCAATACAATTCAAGTTTATGGATCAAAATACTCGCATCTTCTTCACTAATAGCTTCTCCTGTGACTGTTAAGGGAACTGGCTCAGGCCCCAGCTCATTTCGGTATACTTTCTGCATTTCTTCTGCAACAGCACGGGCAAGTACATCCTGGATCGGTAAAATGGGAAGTTTAAGCGAAAAAAGGATATGATAATGACTTTGAGGGGGGAAAACACACTTTAAACATCAATTATCAAAAGGTTACCAGAACATTCTTCGACTTCTTTTACAAGAAACAAAGGTTGGAATTATTACATCTTACCTGATGACTCTCATGTGGAGGATTGAACGAACATCCTGAGGGCTCAACTTCTACTGCTGGAATAATGGATGGCTTCGATGATTTCTGTCCAAGATTACATTAACATTACTTGTTATCTTCCTGCAACAAAATCCACATTTCTTTTTCCTTTTTTTTGATATTATTTCTTTTTTATTCCCCTCGTCTTTTCTTCTTTCTGCCCTTTTCGCATAAGGATAAGAATCTAATATCTTTAGAAATCAATATTACATGATGTACAAAAAATATAAGACTTGTTATTAATTAACCAGTTAGGGTACCGTACCTTACTTTTTTTGCTTTTATTTTCACCTACAGGAACAACAAAAACAAGTGATGGTGTTTGATTAATTTTTTCACATTAAAAGGGTTGTTGAGAACAAAAGTGAGATACAGATCACAAGGGTAATGAGAGGGGGAAAATAAGCACCTTTATCACTCCATATGTCAAACATGCCAACCTTAGCACCATCTTCAGAGGTTTCTTTAGCTTTAGAACCCTCTTCCAATTTTTTCTTGGTTTTCTTATTAATTGAAGAAGGCACAGCTTGGACAAAAGGATTCTTTGTTAATATGCTGTCACAGTAAAGTACCTTTTCTCGTTTCTTTTCAATTTTCCGCTTCACAGATAGATCTACACAGAAAAACAGAGACAACAAATAATAATCAGTTCAAACAATGACAAATCCTTTGTCTGTTTACAACTATTGTTAATGTTAACGAATCGGTACTTCCTAAGTAAATACAGATGTGTTTGCTCGTCCAACCTTCTTTTACAGATTTCGAGCACATAGATGGAACATAGTGCCATTTAGTTCAAATGGCAACCATAAGTATCGTAATGTAAGAAGAACTACTCAAAATTCTCTATCTGAAGTATTCTTTTATAATATAATGGTGAAATCAAGAAGAGCTTTGCCGCAGAAGTTTGATTCAGCGTCCGACGCATTTCACAGACTTTTAATAGCTTTTGTGGATACTTCAGTTAACGTCCTCATAACCCAATGTCAGAATTTTCACTCTTCGGTTCAGCACTTCAACTTCAAACTCAGTGAAAAACGATAAGTTTTCTTTACACAAAACAGACCACACCACAATTCGGTGGGAAGCATGAATCAAACGCGAAAATAACCATTAGAGAATCAATGCAAGAAATATCAAAATCAACCAAAAAGACAGAACACAAATGCTAGAACAAGAACAGAAACCGGCAAAGTGAAATAGGCAAGATTTCAAGGCAATAGAAATAAAAATATAATAACCAGCAGTACCTCGAGACTTATCGACGACGAAAAGAGAATCATTGGGAACGGCGGAAAGAGAACCGCCGGAGAGAGCGTCCTTTGTAGACTTCTCGAAGAAATCCTCAATGTCCGCAGAGCTTATATTGGCTCTCCAGGCCTTCTTCCCCTTCCTAGATCCCTTTGATTTCTTTCCCATTGCTCTGAAACTGAAGATTGAAGGTCGAAGATTGACAGCACTGGGCGAAAGAGGAGAGCGGGTAGGGTTTATGTCGTTTCTATTTTTCTATTTTTCTTTTTCCTTTATTTTAAAATATATCTATAATTACAATTACAACCATTTATTTTGGCCAAATTATATATATAAAAAATATATATTAAAAAAATACAAAAACATTTTTATTCTTGGAATCGTAGGAAAAAGTCAACCTACATAATAAGACCGTTTTTTTATACAAAAGAAAACACTTTTAGTCTTTAGAATTAAAGCAAGTCGAAGCAAAATAGTCAACCTACATAATACAACGGTAAGGAAAAAGTCAACCTACACTATCCAGCCATTTTTTCAAACTTAATCTAAGAAAACATTTCAAATATCGTTACGTCATTGTATGTCACTTTAGTCAGCTTTTCCTCCAACATTTGGATCAATTTCGAGTTCAAAGTAATTAAGCAAAAAATAAATAAATAAATCAATATTATGAAGAATCAGTCGTCTCTACATGCTGTTGGAGATTCAACAAAGAAGAATGAATAAGTTTACAACACTACAAAAATTCAACTAAATCTCAGACAGCCACTAATATCTAATTCCTTTAGCAACCTCAAAGAAATGAGCTACATTTTCCTCGGGTGTACCAACTACAATACCATGGCCTAGATTCAGAATGTGCTTCCCTTTACCTGCCTTCTTCACAGTATCATTAATCCTTTTGGTGATGAATTCCTTGGAACCGAAGAGAACGCCGGGGTCGACGTTACCCTGAACTGCTATGTCTGCTCCTAATCGCCTCCTACCTTCAGCCATATCGACTGTCCAGTCTAAGCTAACAACGTCGACTCCGGTTGATGCCAGCCTTTCAAGTAAGCCCCCGGATCCACTGGCATAAAGAATCAATGGGAGGTCTGGATGTGTTCTCTTCACAGACTCCACAATCTGCTTTAGGTATGGGAGGCTGAATTCTTCGAAGTCCACGGGGCTGAGCTCTGTGGCCCATGAATCGAAGATTTGAACCGCTTGCGCTCCGTTATCTGCTTGGTATTGAATGTACCTCGCCATTGAGCTTGTGAACTTCTGAAGCAATGCATGAAGAATCTGCAGGAGAAATAATAGGTCAATGCTTACTTATCTAACCAGAAGGCGGGACGTGGGATTTTGGGAAATTGGATGAAGGTATCTGTTTATCATGGAGACAAGTTTAATGTATCAGCCCACGCCCACCGCTAGCAAATATTGTCTTTCATGGGTTTTCCCTTTCGGGCTTCCCTTCAAGTTTTTAAAACGCGTCTACTAGGGAGAGTTTTCCATACCCTTATAAAGAATGTTTCGTTTTCCTCTCCAATCAATGTGGAATCTCACAATCCACCCCCCTTCGAAGCCAGACGCTGGGCGGGCGGTGTGCCAGCGAGGACGCTGGGCCTCAAAAGGAGGTGGATTGTGAGATCCCACATCGATTGGAGAGAGGAACGAGTGCCAGTGAGGACGCTGGGCCCCAAAGGGAGGTGAACTGTGAGATTCCACATCGGTTGGAGATAGAAATGAACATTTTTTATAAAGATGTAGAAACTTCTCCATAGTAGACGCATTTTAAAAAACATGGGGTAAACCCGAAAGGGAAAGCCTAAAGAGGACAATATCTACTAGCAGTACTTGGGCGGTTACATTTATAAATATCTAGTGGTGTCTAAGTCAAAACAAAGGTAACTTTACGATGGGTCCCAAGTTATAATGTGGCGTTACCTGTGGCTGAGAAAATGCAAGCCTTTTAATTTTCGAGAAGTGCTTTGAAGAACCACCTTCAACCACGTACGATGCAAGGGTAAACGGAGCCCCAACGAAACCTAGAACTGCAGCTTTGTTGTCAACCTGGAAAGAAAAGCACATGATAAATATACCAAAGGTTGAAAAGCTAAGACATTACATAAAATGAACTCGAGACTGAAAACAATACATGACATCTAAGACCTCTTTTCGCAGAATTGTCAAAGCTTCCCCAACATATGGAACATTCTCTTCAGGGACAAATTCCCTCACTTGGTCAACTTGAGCAGTCTCACTAATAGGATTGGCAATGATTGGACCTTTACCTTTGACAATGTCGAAGGGAATATTCATCCCGGAAAGTGGAGTGAGAATATCCGAGAATAAGATCACCTGTCACGAACACCAACACAAATGAAATCTGATTACAATGTCAATGAACTAACTCAGCTATAAATGTTAGAACAAAATAATGGTTTCTTGATATGATAGAGCTCACCCCATCAGGCTTAAAGACATTCCAAGGCTGAAGTGAAATTTCCACAACAAGATCTGTATTCTCTGACCTTTGACGAAATGAAGGGTATTTTTCGCAAATAATTTGGTAACTCTGTTGCAAAAGGCGTGCATAATATCAGATCCAAGAGAACAACAATTCATAGGAAATCATTTTATGCATACTCAAAATCTTGTAGATGTCTCACCAAATATTTTTCAGCAAAGAATTTGTTAAATCTATCAACTCATCTTTTCTGTTCATATTTACATAAAAAAGAAGCCAAAGACATGTCTAGACTCAAAAAGTAACAAGGGAAACAGCCAAAGGCATGTCAAGACTCTAAGTAACAAGGAAAACAACGTGACATAAAACTTAACTGTAACGATAAAAATGCCTACCAGTAGCAGATATTGTTCTTGAGGGGAAGTCCGAAAGGTAAAACCCAAAAAAGACAATATCTCCTAGCGGTGGAGTTGAGCCATTACATGAACAGAAGCGTGCATTTGTGAACAACAAAAAGACAATGATTTCTCGTAGTGGAAAGTGGTTTTTCTCAACAAAGCACCAGGATCCCTATTTCTTTGATCTTTTTATTATTTGGGGATGCCTTTATATCCCACACTCAGAAAGTCTCTTTTTCAGTATTTTGTTCTCTTTTCACTCCTTGTTTAAGTTTGTTCCCATTGAGCATTTTTATTTCTTTTTATCTATCAACAAGAAGCTCATATCTTGTTCAAAGAAAATGATTTTTTTCCCCTAAAATGAACCTCAGGTCTAGCATCTTAAGAGCAAGAAACCAAAATTGTGGTTTATAGGACTTCACTACTTGCTGTACCAAAATAGAGCTCTGATTTAAATGACGATGAACAACATCACAAGGAGGCTAAATAGAAACAGATTTTTGCAGAAAGGAATTTTGGGTGAACTGTGGAAACCTCTAGACGTGTTTTAAAAACTTTAAAGGGAAACCCAGAAGAAAAGCTCCAAGAGAATAATATCTGCTTACGATGAACTTGAGCGGTTTACACTTTATGGTACTATAACTATTCAGCTCATGGGCTTTAAATCCCACCAAAATCCTCCAGAGTGCAAGAGATATAGTCTTCTGTAGTAAAATGATGTACAAAGGGCACTACAACCATTTCGATTGAGAAAACCGACCATCACAAAACAAAATCTCTGATGTGAAAATGTTAAAAAAAAGACGGTTTACAGAAATCTTTAGCGGAATAAACCTGCCTTCATGTACCTCCCAGCTTGCCTCATCAACCAAACTGGCGGCCTTTCCACATCTTCTCCACGAACGGCATTAAGCAACAATGGTTCTGTAGAAGTGGTAGATTTTGGTTCTGCTACAGTTCCTGGACGCGATTATCTTGCATTACAATCATTATTCTTATGATGCCAACACATAACCCGAGAAGCACTTTCTGATGATAGCAAAACCCATCCACATTTCCCCAAATCCAACCATTAAAAACCAAACTCGAATTAGGAAAATGAGCAAAATCCAATTCTTAAAAAGGATCATACCTCCAAGAGCGCAGTGTACTCGCGGATTAAAAGAAGCGCATCGATTTCTTCTAGGGAAAGAAGAATAGGAAGCAGAGAAACAAGGTAATGGGCTGTTGTGAATGCACGACATGATCTTGTTGTACAGCAGAAATTCAAAAGCTCAGAGAGATGAAAATCGTCTATATCATCTCCCTCTGAACCTGCAAAATTGTTGACTGGTCAGATGCGTTGGAGAAGAAATCAGAGGAAAGGGAATGGAAATCGCATTTGGATAAAAAGGATGAGGGCTTTTACCATAAATCGCCTTATCTCTCCCTACCAATATCATCATTCGCAATAATAAATATTTCAAAATAATTATACGAACCATATGAAATGAAAGTCGATGCTACTCATCATCAATTTTTAGACTTTAATTCTTTTGTTTTGACTCACTATTTATTCAAGTATCAATTTTGTATATTATTCCGACTTGATTTTACCTAAATTATTATTAACATGTCCAATTATTTTTCATGTTGATTAATAATTCTTGACAGAGTGCATTCTTGCACTGAAGATAAACGAGACTAAACAATTTGCCGACTTGTGAGATGTAAAAAAATGCATCGGTAGGGGAGCATTTCACCTTGGAGGGAAGCACCCGTGCGAGCAGTAGTGGACTGAGTAATACAAACATTAGTGAGAGTCCAATGCTCCACAAGGTTCGTCCGCAGTGGGTAAGCCAAGACCTAAGATCAAGCCGAAAGGCATAGTTCCTATATTACCCTTCATTGGTCCCGAGAGACGAAGGAAGCTAGATCACACCCATGAATTTTTTTTTTTCGATCCATCGAACACTAAAGTTTTTTTTTTTTTTTTCCCCTACAAAAAGCAATTATTGTAATAACTCATAGATTGAGGGGTGGTTGTATTTCCCTAAAAAACAATGGTAAAGATGAAAATCCTAAAACAATTGCAATCCATAGATTTTAAGCCAAAAAGGAGGATATGCGTGGCCAAATGTGAGAAGCCATATTCATCTATGAACTATTCTAACTCCGTTCGGAAGTTTTCAGGTAAGAGAGAGGTCAACAAAAGAATTGACACACCATGATGAACTTACAAACATGGAAAAGAACCGAGGAATGCACGAAAACGAATCAGAATATAGTATCGATCCTAAGCTTTCTCTTCGACGGAGCTTTCTCGGCACTCTGTTTCTGCAGTTCCATAAACGTTGAACCCTTGTTAGCGAATAATCTCCGCAGATTGATCACCGAGAGCTCGTTGAAGCTACCAACTGCAAGATCAGCCTGCACTAGATCATATCTGCACATTGATGTCCAGGTATCTATATCAGTCGATGATTGAGATGATCGTTAAGAAATGTACATAGAACTAGGCACGTACGCAGGGTGGGCACCGATTAATGCTATAGCCATCATTGTACAATTGTGAGCAGCGGTTATGCCCCGAGGATCATCCTCGAACACCACACACTTCGAAGGCTTTCGATCCAGCTGAAACAAGTAATCTATGAGCCATGGAAAATGTGCAACAATGGAAAATGTGCAGCTTTGGATTCCTATGGTCCTTACCTTGACAGCAGCAGACAGGAATCTATGAGCCATCGACTCCATATCGTCTTCTTCCGTTACGATTGCCTGCAAAAACGAGAAAGCACTCAACCTTGGAACCACCTAATTGTCATCTTTCTATGTAACCATACAACACACAATCAGTAACAACGCAACCCAAGCTCACTATTAACAAATATTGTTCGTTTTTGCCCGTTACGTATCGCCGTCAGTCTCACGGTTCTAAAACGTGTCCACTAAGAAGAGGTTTTCCACACCCTTATAAGGAATGTTTCGTTCCCCTCTCTAATCGAGGTGGGATTTCACAATCCACCCCTCTTGGGGCCCAATGTTCTCGCTAGCACACCACCCAGTGTCTGGCTCTGATACTATTTGTAGCAGTCCAAACTCACTGCTAATAGATATTATTCGCTTTTGATCCGTTACATATCGTCGTCAGCCTCACGATTTTAAAACGCGTCCACTAGGGAGAGATTTCCACACCCTTATAAGGAATGCTTCGTTTCCCTCCTCAACCGATGTGGGGATCTCTCACACATCCCTTATTCCGAATTCTAGTTTTGTACAAAAGAGACGGTTTGAGGAATCAGTATACCAACCTGAAAGTATTTCTTCAAACTCATTCGGTCTAATGCTTCGAGCATGTGTATCCGATCAAGACTCGAGACAATGGCACACGGGATGCGAGCAGTAGACACAGCATCCAGCCACTCTTTGAGGCCATCAACAGGCGTTTTAAGCTGAATAACAAAAATATTTGAATTATTTCCATGATCAATGTAATGAACAAGAGAACGTTTAAAAATATTTTAATGAAATAACTCACCGAAAGAAGACCTCTGTAATACAACTCTGAAAACCTCAGTTTCAGTCTATCCAGCTCACTTTCTGCCATGCCCCAAAGTAGAAGCTGAAGGGTCGAACAGAGTTATCGAAAGCGTTTCAAAAACATGAAATCGTTGCTAATTGAGAAGAAAGTGCAGAAACATGGACCAAAAATGTAAACAAGGAATGGAACAATGAAAGTAAAATAAACAGTTACAATCATCACACCATATTTGAGCTACCATGATCCAAGGTTTTCAAGGCACAGCTGGGTGAAGAGTAAGGGGTAAACCTATGGAGAACATCTTCAAAAAGGCATATATATATATATATTATATTATTATGTTGTGGGAGATTTAAACGTACGACAAGTTAAAAGGGAGTAATGATTTAATCGCTGAGTTCCTAAATAGGTCAACCTGTCAAACTGTTACTGAATCCATGGACAGACAAGAGACAACCTGACGAACTGAAACATCTTAGTAGCCAGAGGAAATGAAAGCAAAAGTGATTCCCATAGTAGTGGAGAGCAAAATGGGAGAAGTCTAAACCGTGAAAATGGGGTTATGGGAGAGCAATACAAGCGTCTTGCTGTTAGGCGAAGCGGTGGAGTGCTGCACCGTAGATGGCGAAGTCCAGTTGCCAAAAGCATCACTAGCTTACGCTCTAACTCGAATAGCATAGGTTGTATCCAAGATGACAAAGGTTATGGAAGTTGGTGAGCTGAAGAGTCAACTCCTCAAGGACAAACATAGAATCTACGGATTAATGTAATCAAATCCATTCATGTGGTGTATGGAGCTTGTGGCAGGAAACAAAAAACCACAATGTTTTTTAAGGTAAGGCAGAGGATAGTTTAGAAGTATCTGAGAACACAGCAACCTTTTTAATCCCAATTCCCGACCAAACAATTGACATAGAATTTGTTTTTTTTTTTTTTCAAGTGGTGGTAAATTAGAGTGCATTTTTCACAAAGCTAACGTCACAGAACACGAGTTACTTCTTCGATAAAACAAAAGACAATGCAAACCTTCTGCAACACTTGATCCGCACCCGCATATAGCATTAGCTTCTGCACATCACCATCTTCGGGAACTCTTTTTCCTATAGCAATTATATTTCAAAATTTAAAACAAGAAAACAAAAGTTTAACGGTTTCTTAATTCAAATAGCCTCCGAATAAAGGAAGCTAAACTAGAAGGAGTTCGTATCTCTCCATTTCATAGGTTAAGGGACGACTCATAACTCTCTGTCTCTCCACACCCTTATAAAAAAATGCTTCGTTCCTCCCTCTAATCGATGTGGGATCTCACAATCTACCCCCTGCAGGACCCAGCGTCCTCGCTGGCACTCGTTCCCCTCTCAAATAGATGTGGGATCTCACAATTCACCTCCTTTCAGGACCTAACGTCTTCGTTGGCACACCGCCCAATGTCTAGCTCTGATACCATTTGTAACAGCCCAAACCCGCCGTTAGCAGATATGTTTTGTTTGGGTTTTCCCTTTCGGGCTTCCCCTCAAGGTTTTTAAAACGCATATACTAGGGAGAGGTTTCCACACCCTTACAAAGAATGATTCGTTCCTTTCTCCAACTGATGTGGGATCTCACAATCCACCCCTTTGAAACCCAGCGTTATTGCTAGCACTCGTTCCCCTCTCCAATCGACATGGGATCTCACATTTTTCCATGTAGCCCACATTAAAATTGATCCCGAAGAAAATCTTGAATAAAAACTTATAATTTTCTTGTTTCCCTTTCTCTTTTACACTTCAAAGACATGCATCTATACAGTCAATTCCAAAAAAGATAAAACAATAAGAACAGCACCTTCTTCTGAGGCAAGTTGCTTCCATGCGTTTAACTTTAAAGTTTGAGTATCTGCCTGAAAATAATTGTATGCATCATCAAACTCAGAACGTGTGGTTATATGGGAACTAAGTGAATTCATAAGAACATAGACTTTACCACAACATTATCCCAAGAGAAAACTAAGCCATATGCTTCATCTGGTTTCATAGAATAACGAATTCTTTTCAGAAATCCTTCTTGCAATCTGTCGTTCAAAAAATCCTGGTTGCAACAAGGAAGGACCAAAACTCTCATAATGAAGCTAACCAGAACATTCAAACAAACAAAGAACCAGAAGAAAACTAGCCCAATATAGTCCATTTTTTCTTTACCACGTCCACTTTCATCGGACCATCTGGTCTAAAAGATTCAAATCCTTCCCCATATTCAGCTCCAATTGCCTAACATACAAGCATGTTTCAAAACATAAACAAGCGCCCAACATAGCTCAACTAGTTAAGAAATTATCTAGACAAATCAGTACCTCCTGCATGAAAAGCTTATTGGGTGTAAGGGGAAACCTAGCGAGGGAGCCATTTTCACCAGACCCAGAAACGCTCATCGCCACCATGGAATGTTTAATCGAGTTCAAACGCTTCAAATTCTACAAAAATTAGAACAATCAACCATAAAAGCAAAAAGGGGGGGGG